CGGGCTCAGGCAATCCACTCACCTCAGCCTCCCAAAGGCGCGGGATTACAGGCTGAGCCACCGAGCCCGGCTCCGGCTAGTTTTTGATTTATTGTAGAGATGAGGTCTCGCCAAGTTGCCCAGGCGGGTCTGAACCCGTGGGCTCAGGCGATCCACTCACCTGGGCCTCCCAAAGTGCTGGGATTACAGGCTGAGCCACCGAGCCCGGCCGGTTTCTTCTTTTCTAATATTGGTGCTGAGTGCTATAAATTCCCTCCTAAGTAACGCTTTAGCAGTATCTCACAAATTCTGATATGCTGTTTTTATTTTTGTTTGATTCAGCATACTTTCTAATTTCTCTTTTGAATTCTTCTTGAAATGCACATTGCTTAGAAGTATATAGTTTCTGGATGTGTGGAAGAATTTCCAGATGTCTTTCAGTTTTGATTTCTAGCTTAATTACATTGTGAACAGGAAGCATACTTTGTATGACTTGAATTTTAAATTTACTGAGACCTGTTTTATGACCCAGAATGTGGCCCAGAACATTGTGTGTGCACTTAAAAATAATATATTTTCTGCTATCGTTGAATGTAGTGTTCTCTAAATGTCATTTAGAGATTGCAGTGGTTTATAGTGTTTCAGATCTACTATGTCTTTGCTAATGATTGTTTACTTGTTCTGTTAATTTATTTTTAGTTTTAGTTTTTAGTTAGAGTCTGTTGCCCAGGCTGGAGTGCAGTGGCATGATCATAGCCATTGCAGCCCTGACCTCCTGGGCTCAAGTGATCCTTCCATCTCAGCCATCCAAGTAGATGGAACTATAGGTGTGTGCCACAATGCCCAGCTACGTTTTTTATTTAGTGTAGAGATGAGGTCTTACCATGTTGCCTAGGCTGGTCTTGGCCTCCTGAGCTCAGGCAATCCTCTTGCCTCAGCCTCCCAAAGTGCTGGGATTACAGACATGAACTTGTTCTCTTAATTACTGAGAAAGGGGTATTAAAATCTCCCACTACGATGGTGGATTCATCTATTTCTCTTTGTAGTTCTATTAGGTTTTGCTTTGTGTAATTTGAAGCTCTGTTATTAGAAGCACACGTTTAGGGTTGTTACTTATTGTTCTTCTTTTTTTTTTTTTTGAATTGAAGTCTCACTCTATTGCCTAGGTTGGAGGGCAGTGGCACGCTCACGGCCACCACAGCCTCAACCTACTGGGTTCAGGCAATCCTTCTGCCTCAGCCTTCCAAGTAGCTGGAACTACAGGCATGCACCACCACACCTGTCTAATTTTTTAATTTATTGTAGAGATCTTTTAGAGGTCTTGGCAAGTTGCCCAGGCTGGTCTGGAACCTGTGGGCTCAGGCAATCCTTTCCACTTGGCCTCCCAAAGTGCTGGGATTAAAGGCGTGAGCCACTGCGCCTAGCCTTTTTTTTTGTTTTTGGAGTTGAAGTCTCTCTGTTGCCCAGGCTGGAGTGCAGTGGCATGCTCACAGCCATTGCAGTCTCGACCTATCTTCCAAGTAGCTGGAACTACAGCCATGTTCCACCACACCCGGCTAATTTTTTTGATTTATTGTAGAGATGAAGTCTCGCCAAGTTGCCCAGGCTGGTCTTGAACCTATGGGCTCAGGCAATCCTCTCACCTCGGCCTCCCAAAGTGCTGGGATTATAGGTATGGGCCACCGAGCCCAGCCTCCCAGCTTTCTTTTAACTGGTGCTAACATGGTATATCTTTCTACCACCCTCACAAAATATTTTTTTTTGAGTCGGAGTTTCACTGTCACCCAGGCTGGAGTGCAGTGGCACGCTCACGGCCACTCCAGCGTGGACCTGCTGGGTTCCGGTGATCCTTCCGCCTCAACTTCCAAGTAGTGGGAACTATAAGCATGTACTACCAAGCCCAACTAATTTTTTTTTTAAATTTATTGTGTAGTTGAGGTCTTGCCAAGTTGCCTGAACTGGTCTTGAACCCACGGGCTCAGGCAATCCACTTGCCTTGGCCTCCCATAGTGCTGGGATTACAGGCTGAGCCACTGAGCCCGGCCCAGAAAATGTTAAAAATTATTTTATTTTTTCAAGAGTCTTGGCCAGGTACAGTGGCTCACACTTGTAATCTCAGCATTTTGTGGGACTGAGGCAGGAGGATTGCTTGAGCCCAGAAGTTTCAGACCAGCCTGGGTAACATGATGAGACCTCGTTTCTACAAAAAATTAAAAAAT